AGCTGGGACGCTGCAAGCCCTGCTGGGGGCAGCCCAGGCTCCAGCAGCTACCTAGAGCCGGGGTAGCTACTGACAGCCACAGATCCCGGGCTGGGGGGCATGGGGCACAAGCAGAGCATCATGCCATGTACCCTTTGCCCTCATTTTATTTTTCTGGTATGCTAGCACTCCAGCACCTTCCAAGGTAGCATTGCGTTTTTTGGCACTCTGGCCAAAAAAATTTGTTTACTCCTGAACTACAGGAAGATCAGTGAAAGTATGGGTCCTCTACTAAATGAGGGAGGCAAGCCAGTGACACGATGCGGAAAAGGCCGAATTCCTCAATGCCTTTTTTACCTCTGTTTTCACAGGCAAGGTCAGCTTCCAGACTAGTGCACCTGGCAGCACAGTCTAGGGAGGAGGTGAGCAGCCAACAGTAGCAAAAGAACAGGTTTGGGACTATTTAGGAAAGTTGGACATGTACATATTCATGGGGCTGGATGCAATCCATCTGAGGGTGCTGATGGAGTTGGCCAATGTGCAATGGCTGCAGAGCCGCTAGCCATTATCTTTGAAAATTCATAGCAATTGGGAGAAGTCCTGGACGATTGGAAAAGGCAAAATATAGTGCTTATTTTAAGGGAAGAAGGAAGATCCAGGGAACTAGAGATGGGTCAGCCTCACCCGAGTCCCAGGGGAAAACAAATAAATCAATCAGAACAGGTCCTCAAGGAATCTATTTCTATACACTTGGAGGAGGTGGTGGTGATTAAGAACAGTCGGCATGGATTCACCAAGGGGAAGTCATTCCTGACCAGCCTGATTGCCTTCTATGATGCAGGGAGAGCAGTGGACACGATCTATACCTTGACTTTAGCAAGGCTTTTGAGACAGTCTCCCACAACAAACTAAAGAAATATGAATTGAATAAATAGACTGTACATAGAAAACTGGCTGGATTGTCAGGCTCAGAGGGTAGTAATCAATGGCTCAATGCGGTATCAAACGGGAGTACCCCAGAGGTCAGTCCTGGGGCCGGTTTTGTTCAATGTCTTCATGAGTGACTCGAAAGATGGCAGAGAGTGCACACTCAGCAAGTTAGCAGATGACATCAAGGTGGGGGAGTAGTGGTTATGCTGAAGCAATTCCTCCCCGGTATTCAGCACTGGCAAGGCAACATCTGGAGTGCTATGTTCAGTTTTGGGTCCAGAAAAGACGTACAAAAATTGGAAAGTCCAGCAGAGGGCAATAAAAATGGTTAGGAGGCTGTGGCACATGTTTTACAGAGAGATGCTGAGGGAACTGGGTTTATTTAGTAAGGGAAAAGAGAAGACTGGGGAGGGAGGGGATTTAATAGCAGCCACCAGTTACCTGAAAGGTGGTTCCAAAAAGGATAAAGCTAAACTGTACTCAGTGGTGGCAGATGACAGAACAAGGAGCAATGGTCTCAAGCTGCAGCAAGGGAAGATTAAGTTAGATATTAGGAAAAACCTCAAGCAGGGTAATAAAAGTGGAACAGGTTACCCAGAGAATTTGTGGAATCTCCCATCCTTGGACATTAATACCTGGCTAGACAGAGGACTGGGTGGGATGATAGAGTTGGGGATGGTCCTGATTTGAGCAAGGGGCTGGACTAGATGACCTCCTGAGGTCTCTTCCAAACTCCCCCCCCCCCCTTTTTTTTTTTTTTTTGTTATTCTATTATATGTAGGAAACCAATTTCTTGGGAGCTGGTCCTATACCATTGAAAAAGTTCCCATAAGGTCCAAAAATGATTAAACCATGTGCCATTCCAAGTGCTAGGTTCACCATTTATCTTGCTCTCATACAAACAAATACTGTATATAAAAGTAACAACCACCCTCCCCCCCCCACTCCTTATGTAAAGCTGAAAACAGCACGTCGCATACAACTCTTGTTATGGAGTGGTTAGCCATAGTGCATTACAAGGCACTCCTGCTGTGACTCTAAGAGGGCATAAAAACGTAAGGAACCAAAACATACAGCATTCTAGAAAAGCGTAAAGTACAAAATTTACCCAAATCCAAGACTATTTCGAATTTAGGACGACCTCCAATAATGAAATTCTAGTCATGGAAAAATGCACAAATTGTTATAATTTTCTAGGTAGAGAACCTAATTATTGGAGGGTCATCTTAAATTCATCCTCCCTCCTCTGAAAAACAAACAGCAGGAAGGGGAGGCAAGCAGCCTTGTCCCTTCCGGCCCTTGCCCCTGGCTGCCCATTCTCCCATACCACTTGGGGTTGGAGCTGGCACCACTATCACCAGACTTGGCCAGGACCAGAGCCAGCAGGTGCTCCATGTCCCCACTTACAGCAAGGCCAGGCTTCAATCTCAGTAAGTGGCAGTTTC